CAGGGGAGAGAGAGAGAGAGGAGGAGGTGATAGGAGGAGAGAGAGAAAGAGAGAGAGAGAAGAGTGACGGAAATAGAGTGTATAGTAAAAGTGAGAGGGTAAAAGAGAGAACGGAAGGTGAGGGATTCATAGAGAGAGAGAAAGAGAGAGAGAGAGAGAGAGAGAGAGAGAGAGAGAGAGAGAGAGAAACAGAGAGAGAAACAGAGGGAATGGAGAGAAGGACGGGGACAGACAAAGTTACAAAGAGAGATAGAGAAGCTTTGTATGGGGGTAAACAAATCTCTGCATCGTCTGCTGACTGGCCGATTGCGTTCATTAGCAGTGCTAGAGGTGCGGTCGATATCCTGACAGGGTTCTTAACTCTGATCGATGAGGAGACGAGGATAATTTACCGGGAAACTTTCTTAGACGTAATCTCAACAGTTCAGAAAGGGAGGAGACGATGAGGGAATGTGCACAAATAGTATGCCTACCTGCCCGTAGGCCTACGTACTTACAACATGCATGTATTTGTATTGTTGATACTTACAGTTACTATGACGAGCACTGGTCTCTATCCTCTTGTTTATATTTTTATATCCACGAATTATTCCACACTACGACGACGTCAAAGTCCCTCATAACAACAGAAACAGCTGAAGATGACAAACTCTGTTAGCACACGCCTCTCCACGGTTTCTGCACTACAACTGTGCATCACATACATAAAATTTCCATAATCTGCTGGGACCCACACTATAAACTCTACAAGTCAGCGGTCCCACTGCCTCTCAGCACTCAGCACAGCACAGCAGAAAGTTCTCTGTTACTCTCTACACAGTTATAGTTACAGCAGTCACATCTAGAGATTCCCAACACAGCAGACAGACAGTGCGAGCGTCGAGTCGTTGGACCGGCCACAAAACCCTTTTTCCCCGCGACTGGCTTGTGTGTGTATTCGCGGCGCACTCGCACACATTAGGCTAGCCTAGCGGCTGGTTGCTGCATGACCCAGTTTCCCCTCTTTCCCAGGGCCGTTTCGTTTGTATACACACCTGACTGAATAGACCTAGAGACCTTGACGTTTAGGAATAATAATAAAGACCGAAATGTGTTGACGCAAACAGACCGTGAACAGATGATGCCTTGTTGGTGGTTTCCATGGCAATGACACAATAAACTATGAAAAGCTATTCGGGAAATTCGCTTCCATTCCAAGGAACAACACAATTTAACGTATCTCATGAATTAAGTCCAACTTGTTGAATATGTATTTATTAAGAGATAGAACAAATAGATCTAGGTACTATTTTTCTCTTGTTACTATTTTGATTAACTGAATTGTAGGTCAATCATAGCTGATGTAATCGATTTAGTAACGATGTATGTTCCAAGAGTTCATTATGGATAACAATATATTACATACACTGTATATTATATGCCTTATCATTAATATGTAGGCCTACATTGTATACACTTTATATAAATAAATAAAAAGGGATATAACGTGTGTGTGTGT